TCGTAGGGTCGTTACAATCACCTATTGCGCACTAATGTGCGTTATGTGAAATCCCCACATACCTATAGCTCGGAATTCCGAGCTATGTGAAATCTGCCTTGCTTAGTCACAGTTTGTGACAGGTCAGTATTAAATCATCGTTTTTTGTCTCCCCCCACATACCAGCCATCTTCTGCAACCTTTAGATGTGATTGTATTTTGGCCATACAAGCATTACCATGCTGAATCAGTTGAAGCAGCTACTCATACTAGGTGTGGAGATTGTGATAAATGTGAATTTTTGGACAAAATTCACTGAATCCAAGAGCAAACCTTTAAGAGATCCACTATCATATCCGCATTTCGTGCAACAGGTCTCGTTCTCTTCAATCCCGAAGTTGTGATTGACAAGTTATGGGAGGCAGTGATTCCGGCTGTTGTACCGAATACTAAACCGTCTGAATCCTCTACAACTATTCCTCTTACAATTACTTCTCTCAAGGGAGCAGGAGATGAATTACACCAAGAGGCTGGTGATTTATCACCAACCTTTCAGAGGGAATTGAAGAGAGTACTGCAAGGAGGATTAGCTCAAGCCCAATCTGGAGCTTTAGCAATGGACGATTTGGAACATACACGGGCAGCGGAGCAGGCTACAAATGCCAGGCCCAGGGCACAGAGTTGGAGAGAAATCCAAAAAGGAGGAGTCATGTATGCTTCACAAGCATGACAAATGGTTAAATGGAGGGAAGATGCGGAGGTTGAGAAGGCAGAAATGCCATTACTGTTGAAACTCGTAGACGTTCCATCACATAGTTAGCAAAATAGTTTATGGTTACAGGATGTAGTTGGAACGCATGCAGGGCATGCTATAGTTTTGGATTGATGTCGCAGAAGTGTATCATTGTATTTTGGAATAGAGCTGGGATCTATTAGCTTAGAAGAAAGAAGACAGGGAAGAGTTTGGATGGTTTCATTAGTTAGTGTTTGGCACTATCTGGTTAGCTTGTAACGGATGATACTGGCTTGTGTCAGACCAAGAAGAGGGTGGAACATATCGGGAGAGTGGTTGCAACCATTACTGGAAATGTCTTTATCCTGCGGTGGATGAGTTGGGAGCAAGGCACCAGTGTCGGGCATGGGAAGCAGAGTGGAAGACGGTGCAAGGACTTTGGGAATTTTCCTGATGTTTCCTTGAAGTCAGATTATGTATAAGTAGGACACCTCCGACATGATAAAGAAAAATAAGAGCCAATAAGCCACTCTTATACCATCATAGCCTATTTTGAAGAATTACGCAGGGCACAGAATGCTCAAAGACTAGCTCAGCAAGCTGAGCATAGGGTATTTCAAAATGAGTTAAAGGCACAGGTAAAGCAAAGAAATCTGATGCGTACTTGTAAACAAAATTTTCAAAGATGACAGTTATGGGTATTAAACGCCAGGTGAAACTGGGGAAAATCAATGTAATATAAAATATTAACTTACCTTCAAGACAGGTATAGCTATACTCTGATGTTATGCCAGGAATAAAAAGTGACTTTAAGCTACAAAATTGTATGGAGCTGCAAACTCATGTTGAGCCCCAATGTGTTGTTGAGCCACAAAATTGTATTGAGCCACAATCTATCGTTGAGCGGCAATCTTTCATTGAGCTGTCGGGCACTCAGGATGAGTGCCCACAAAAGCTGAGCCAGCGAAGTTTCGGGGGTTGCAGCGCCCTAGCGCTGCAACCTTGGCACGAGTAGTGTATCAATAAATAATCCCGCAGAAAGCCCAAACGAAAACAAACTACTGGCATAGGCAGCACGGGCTCAGGGCCCTCCTCTGAAACACAACCCGGAACGTCACCATTAACTCCCCAAGGCCGTCGACAGATTCAGTCAACTCCAAACACAGTTTACCACAAGAGGGCTCCGATAGTTTAACCTCGCCACTCGGATTTCTCTCCGCGAGCGGATGCTACATGGCCCACCATCATAGCTTTCACCCACTAAACCCATGGTCCAACCTTGCTCCTGCACTTCGTCGGCGACCTGTTCGTGACAGAGTCCAGGCAGATGTAGCTCCATGATCCAACGAGGTCTGCGGTTGGAAAGATACCTATTTGGAAGTGCCCTAGGGGCCGTGCTCGAAAGCCACGTCGGAACTCGATAGAAAGGGTACCCAAAAGTAGCAGCATCCATCTTCGGCCCCGCTCATGCCGGTTGGGTGACGACTAGGTCATTTTCCGCCCGCCCGCTGGGCATTGTGAATTGAACGCCGTACTTATTAAAAGAAATAGGAGCTAGAATTAGTAGCGTTACCAAAAGGGCAGTTAGTTAGTCCTAGAGGCAGACCACAGCGCAGGATAGCGCGCCGTCGGCTTTAGCAATTTTGTAATCCTCTAACTTAGGCCATATGGAGGTAAGCACTTTGGCCCACCCGTTGCAGGCAAGAGGGGTCTCACTAGGATTATTACGGTGCCCCAATATATTCTCTGGTTCTATGGGTCTACTTTTATAAAATCTGACCGATTGTAATCTTTCTGCCCACTTGGAAGCTGTTTGTCGGTTCGATATTGCCATCTCAATTGCCCTGCTTGCTTTCTCTTCATAGGCAAGTCTGGGCCCTTATATACATGGAGGAACTTCCTCCATTTCTCCCATCAACCTCATATCGTGTGATCAGCCATACCCCGTTTTCCCTTCCCTTTTACTTCTCTCAGTTTCTGCTATCATCGCATTTACCCGGTGGTTCCTCCAATCCACGATCCCTCTTCCACCATGTGGCCTATGGCTTGACTTTACTTCCAATCGTCCCTTTCCCTACATTTATCCCCAACATTCCCGAGAACATTCTACCTCTCTTATAAATCCAAGTACAAACATGACAAATCAAATAGTGAAGATTCTAGTACCTCCGGACAAGGTTCCGGTAATTCTCTTGACTTCACTGAGGTGTGATGTTGGTCTGGTGATTAATTGGAGTGCCGGTGATTTACAACATCTAATATGAGTGGTCCAGCGCCGGTATAAGGAAAAGATGCATGGTCAAGTTTAATACATGGAATATACCCTAAAAATCGAGGAATAGGTTACTTATTTAGTATAACAAAGAAATGAAACTATCTAAGAAGCCAACCCGCCCCCGACACACCACCCCTCCCACACCGACTTCCATTACATCCAAGGTTTGCAATGTGAGTGGTGGCTAGGCGCGCAAACCAAATTACCGTACCCCCCCGCCACCGGGCTCCCAAAGCTATTTACGGCGCCGGGAAATGGAGTCAGGGGAAGGACAGTTGAAGCTGCGGTACATCTAGCAACAACCCAACCCTGACAGCGCTCAATCAGGAATTAGCTAATGACAGAACCTTTATATGGTCGAAGCCAGCGAGAGCAAAGAGGGGCAAAGAAATTTATTCAGTAAAGTCTATTGTGGCGAACTACAGCGCAATCCTCTAACCTGTATGGTTGCTCAAGTTAACCTCCGCAAGGTAATATTGGTGGCCCGGCTTTTGAATAATATACCGTAATCTTGGGCCCTTAGGGAAGATTAGGCGGGGCAGGGTTGTCCATCTCACCGCCCTTGCTCACCTTTGCCCACTTCCCATGTTGCTAGTCGGGGTCATGGGTGCCACATATCTCAGAGAGGGTGTAAGGATACTGCCCTGAAAACAACTCTGCCACAAGCTCACGCCATTCCCGCTGGTTTGCTCCGCTCACCTGGGGTCAGCCTCGTTCACCTGCTAGGATACTGGTATGATACACCGGATGCCGTTAGCTACTGAAAACAAGGTCCGAGGCGGAAATCGATATTCGCGGTGGCAAGATTGCAACTGGTATTGATATAGTGTTTGGGAAACAGCCGGATATGAATGGGGGAGTTGTGAGATATATGTTTGTCGCTTATGGAGCAAATGCATAGTTGGCAATCTGGTGGGTTGAAACCTGGGGGGTTTAGAAGATGCTGACCGGAGGAGGCTCCTGACAACGTGATGCCAGGCGATTAAATCTACAGCTCCTCCTCTATGAACTTCGGGACAACCCGGATTCCAGAACTCAGACTTCAAACTTTATACTTCCAGAGGGCAACATCCTTTCAACCACATTCCACTCCTAACATCCTACACCGCCCTCTCCAACAACAACAACAAATTCTGCGACCTGAGTTTATGGTAATTTCATTTTTTTACTCTGTCCAAATCCTTAATGCCCCAACTACCAAGATTCCCCCCGGGACGAAATCTCACAGCATGTGGACAGGCCGAACGCTCCCCTGCTACGCACACCCCAAGCACCCCACCCAGACACCTTCAGTTATTGCGAGAAAATAGTTTAGAGGAACAGGTCACTGGAATGATCATTCGTAATTCGCCTGGCTATCGTCAAAACAGCCACGACCTCTCACTAGGGCATCCGATGCCACTTACGCCTCACCTTCAGAATCAGCTTTACGAGAAGCAAGATTACAGCATTGCATTTCTACCAGAAAGCCCTGGGTTTGATTCTCAGGTTTTACCAATAAAACCCTTCCCGTCAAGTATCTGGTTGACATCTCCAATTCCCCCCAGTCCCCCCCCCGCAACATCTGCAATGTTCCACTCACTTCGGTCGCTGAACTTTCAAGGTCCTCAAGCACTGGGCTGGCAGTTTGGAGCCCCGCTTCCGCGGACGCACTTGTCGCCATCTCGCGGACCACTTTTTACCCTCGGAGATTAATCACAGCAAACAGTCCCGCTATTACTGCAAAACCAGCTTCCGAACCACTCCTCGATCTCAACCCCTCAGGATCAGCGACATATGCGCCCTACCATCCAAAATTATCCCCCGCCCCGACGCCCCCACTAACAGCAATCGGCCCAGGGTGGGCGGATTAAATCACCGGAATATCCGTGGACGGGTGCCAGAAGGCCTCAACTCGGACATCGCCCTGAGCGCAATAGCCCCCATCAGCATTCGGGCCTTCATCACCCTCCTCCTCCTCCTCTGCCCCCTGAGAGTCTCGATCAGTTCCCCCCTTGGACCGGAGCGCCTCAAAGCCATCTTACCCAAACCTCCTCCACCTAAATCGCCACAGACAAAGACATAGGGACAAAGTCAACAAAGGACACAGCACCAACCGCATCCATTGCGGAGCCGTCCACTCCCTCGGTGGAGACCAGCGTTTCTAAACCCTCAAGTGTCTCCACATCTGGGGAAAGGCCGCATGCCTCCAGTCAACTTAGAGCAGATGATATATGATCAGAATACCAATCTCCAGGCATTCGAAAGGGAGATTATTGCGGCCGCCACACCAACTCCGCAGGAATTAGCCGCCTAACCAGCATTTGAAAAAATGTGTACCAATCTGGGAAAGGATCTTCCCGCAAGGGGAGTTGATTCCCGTCGGAAGTCTAGCTAGTAAGTGCTATGCCTTTCACTTTTCTCAACCTTTTCTTGATTGTGTACCTTGTAGCCAGTTTGGTTAATATCACCTGATACATCTCTAATGTAATTGCCTTGCTCTCCTCCATTTTATGGGTACCATAGCAGGATTCGCAATTACTAAGTCTCATCTCGATGCCGTCCTCGTGTCTCCCTATCGGGAGGACTTTTTCTGCACCCCTGACAAGAGTGACGAATCCAATTCTCTTCCACATAATCTGGCGGAAGAATTTCAGTCTGTGGGGTTCGAGATTACGCTACTCTTAAAGACCCCTGTACCTATAATGAAGCTAGCACTCAAAGCTACAGGTGAGAACTCATTTGACTTGATTTGCGACATGGGGTTTAATCAGGACCTAGGAGTGCATAATACTAGGACGCCGCAAACACATAGTCGATGCGATCCAAGAGTCAAGGAAATGGTTCTTTTTATAAAGGTGTTTGGGCTTTCACCATAATTCTAACCGCGCAATCCTCTTGGCAGCTCAGAATTTTGTAAACTTGACACCGTCACATGCCAGTGGTGGGCCAAGAGAAGGCATATCAATAGCCCATACCGTGGTACCGTCTCTTCTTACGGCTACGTGCTCATGATCATCCATTTTCTGATCAACGTGGTTGACCCCCCTGTTTTGATCAAGAGGCAGAACATCGGCATCCCCGAAGATGCACCGCCTGACCAGATATTTGTTGAGGGTGGCGAAGGGAGCATCATGTTTGGTATGCTAAAGATATCGAAAATCTTCCCAAGACCACGAACCAAATGCCTGTCAGCCAGCTCCGACATAGCTTCTTCGAATACTATTCACATAGGTTCCAACGGGGAAGAGAGATCATCTTCATCCGGACCCAATGCGGCATATTGAGTAAGTGAGGTAAAGGTTGGGTTATGGCTGTTGCTGGGCCGGGGAGGAGCGGGCATACTCTGGTAAAAGATACATACTTGTTTGCCATCGAGGACCGATTCGAAATCAGCTACAGCATTGGCAGGATCCGCAATCCCAGCGGAATAGACAGGGTTCGAGGAGAGTTCAAAAGAGCCTTGAACATTATTAGGTTGTGCAGTGGTGGGAAGTCAATGAGGGAGCTTTTAGACCAGGAGGCGCCACCGGAGAAACCATGGGTTAGGGGGGAAGATGACCAGAGGATGGATTGGAAATCTAATCCAGATCAAAATGCTAACATAGAGACGAACAACGATACCGCAGAACACCACAAACACAAGAAGCGGAGGAACTCGCGGTTCGTGAGGTGATGGGAGATCTTTAAGTTGGTAATCCCTGGGGTCTTGGTCTCGCTGGTCTTCCGGAGCGTCTCAGTATAGTCGAGGAGCGTCTCCATATTGTCGAGGAAGGAAATGCTGGAGACAAGGCCGAGATCGCGCAGCTGAAGGATTATGTATCCATATTGAGGATTGCGGGGCCTGCTTATAAAAGGGTTTCGGAATAGATTTCACTCCGTCTTTAAATGGGATAAAACGGAAGTGCCCCTCAAGCAGTCGGACCGGAATTTCATTGCAGAGGGCAACGTCGTCGCACATTCGGGCGATCCTGCCATTGATGGGTTGTTGTATGATGGCGCAGGGGGACGACAAGATCCGACCGTATTTGAGGAACTTTACGGACTACACCCCTCTGATGTCCAGAAAAGCAGTAAGTAATCCTGGCTATCTAATCAACTTCAGTACCAGTATTAAGGCTAACTTCTCCAGCCCACAAGGAAACAATCGAGATATTGAATCTCCACGCCAGAGTCAAAGCCAACGATATACCCGGGGCAAATGCATTCTGCCGAAGATTTCGCGTCTTCATAGTGGCATTGAGGATGGAGGACCCGGGGTTCCACTATTGACAGGAGGATCTCACGAATCCAACCTGCGCTGCGTACTGGTCGCTACGCGAGGTTCAAATATGAGGATCCAGGTAATGTCACGACTAGAGGCATTCCATACAGCAGATATTAATAATCCTTTAGTGGATCCACAAAGGAAGGGGGCGGGGCTTTGGTGCGGCGGGGCGGGGTGGAAGGCGCGGGCGCGGCGGCGGGCGGGCGGGAGAGGGGTGGGACCCTTTCGCCCCTCCTGCACGAAGGGGGTCGGGGAAAGTCCGGCGAATGCGGCGGTGCATGTGGTGGCACACTGACCCCGTGATTGATCCTGTACTCGAGTATATACGATATAACTAGTAACTGAGTGGTTTTCATTTCCGAGTCATGATATGCTTCAACCGGAGTAGTATTGGGCAATTTTCACGATGGTGTGTTATGGTCAAATAACTACATCAACTACTCTTCTAGGATAGAGCCATCGCCACACGCACCGCCACGTTCGCTAGACTTTCCTCGACCTCCTTACAATAGCAGGAGTAAAGCATTGACCAAACAAACCTAATTGGGAAAGGCCAAAAGTTATAGAAGTGGGTCTCAAGGAGGAAACGCAGGGGTATGTGAGCGGCAGGCAGAAGTGAATGCATAGGAAAGCTTGAATGCAGGCAAGGAGTCTAAAGGGTTATACAATAGGGGTGTAGCCCCGGTGCTGTGCTATCATACTGCTGACAGAATCCCTGCTGCCCCACCCACCGTTCCACGGCCTAACACAGTATGATATAACAAACACAACCACCAAACCCTACACACCGCATCAATTGTGCTCACCACCAACTGTCACGGTGCAAGCTTAAGAGACAACCCAAGAACGTCGCACTTGGCTGGGTCGGGTCCCTGGGAAAATTCATACAACGCCCAGCGAGTTAGCGCCCGCCCCATCGCAATTGTTTTTCATTAGAAGGTCAAGGTGACCAATATTCCCAACAGTCCAGTCCGTCCATGTTTGAGGCAGGACAGGCTATATCTAGTATTCCTCCTATTAGGCAGTGCCTGGATGGACTGTGCCTGGGACGGATAGGACTGGATAGTTAGCCGAGGACTGCCATCTTATAGCACGGAATTCCACGAACAAGAGGATCTTGCCACAATCCTTCCACCACTTCCCTACTTGTTTTTGGTATGCTATGCTGTCCCCCGCAGTCCACGCAGCCCCAGTCTCTCCTCCACCGTCTTTCCTCCGCCGTCTCCCACATTCCTCGGTAGTACCCCGACGTCCCTGCAGGTGCTCCACAACTCCCGCCGCCAACACTGTTTGGCCCTGTTGGGCCTGCCGTCCTATTTAAAGCCCGATAGCTGGCACTTTCAGCGCCCTGGACTCACTGCACATAGCCCTCCAGCCCCGTCTACGGCCCTTAACAGTCCTCCCAGGGGGCCCTTTAGTGTCCCCGGACACTTAGAACTACTGAAGGTCAGTCCGGATATGATGCCAAACCTCTGGCAGATCGAAAGTTGCCGTTGAAGAGAAGATCAAGGAGGATGCTCAACGCTCCTTAAGAGTGGTGCTGCGACCCGGAGAGCTTGATGTGAGGGTCAAAGAGCGGGACACAAAAATACCGTAGTTAATCCTGGTGGCAGGGCCTACGGCCAGATAGTTGATGCGGTTACAAAAGCAGCTAATAGTGCCACATCCAAAACACCCGCCCTCGGCGGTTGAGTATCCACCCTTTCCGCTTCACCTGAGTCTTCTAAATTGACCAGAGAGACATCCCTTAGCGCCAACGGAGGTCATAGGAGGGGGATGCGACCGGGGCCGTCGCTGAAATCATTCAGGCAGCAATATTTCCTCGGACGGACACGATGCAGCTGCCGACACCTTGCTTTAGACAGGTGCGGCGGGGGGGAAGGGGTCTGAGAAATTTGAGGAGTTGTGTGGACTACTCCACACGGCGGTGGGAAACATTTGTCAGCTTTTCTAGAATAGTCTTCTCTGAATGTGGATTGGGACTAATTTCTGCAGGCCAGGAAGACACCTTCGAGGTCATAAATGCTCATGCTGAAGCCTACGCCTCAAAGGACACGATCGCCACTAATACCGAGTCCGAGGCCTTCGCAAAGTTTCTGAGAGGGTTCAAGGAAAGATGGAAAGACAATGACGAGAGATCTGTGGATAGGAGTGCAACTATAGTCATAGATACATGCTGGGTGTTTAGGGAGTTCATGAAGTCTGAGGTGGGGAGGGCCACGGTCACCGATTAGATGAAAATTATTACCTTCAGGTTTCTGTTGAACGGGAATCCGTTCTTGCTCTACGGTTTGCTTGTCTGTTATTGTGGAAATCAAGATTTTTCAAAACGACCGTCCAAATGAGCACACGTGCCGGGATATGAGAGATTTTACCGGGAAACAGCAAAAACAATCGAAATGAAATACGAAACAAACTGGAAGGTAATTAGAAGGGAATAATTACCCTTCCTGGGAGCTCCCGCGAGACTTGGAAGGCCTGTTCCTTGTATCAAAATATTATCTGCCCAGGGAGGGCATTGTGTGGCCCGTGTCGTTTGGGGGCCTGAGCCTCGTCTCCGCCGTCTAGAGAATTCTATGTTGAAAAAGAAAACCCCCTTTCTTTCCCTCCCTGCATTCCTATAAACATGGACAACCCCCCACCGAATCCCCTTCTTTGCTTTCCATGGACTTTGCATCACAGTTGCGGAGGAGCTCCGGGAGTGTGAATGACCGCCAGAGTTCCTGCCCTGCCGGGAGCGTCCCGGCTCCCACGAGGAGTGTCATATTTACCATTGCCAACCGTGAGAAATAGGTAACACGCCTCGAGAAGAGGGTGCCAGATATGAAGATGTGAGACTTTAGACCACGGTTTGGTATACTCGTTTTTTTGTAAAGGAAATGGCTATCATGCGCTTTCCAGCGGGTGGCTCATGGGACCCAAGCGTGGTTGACACCTTGACCTGGTACCGGGGCTTTGAAACTAACATCAACCGCTGTAGACTTGGATGATTGGGGTTATGTTTTTATTTTAGTTTTTTGTATATGATACTGGTTGGTTGTCAGAGTGTCAGTTAGAAGTTGTGGGAAGTGTTCAGTACTAGGATTAGGATAGGCGTACTGGGGATCATATCACGGATTGTGAATTGAGATTCTCCACTGCGCATTGTTGCCTAAATCCAGCATTCTGCAGGTTTACATTGGGTATATCGTTTTCCTTTCTCTCTTCTCATCTCCCCACCCACGCAGCCGTCCTAGCAGAATAACTCCCATCCTGATCAATCCAAATCTACCTGCCTAGATTTTAAACGCACCAGGCAGGCACAAACTTGGTGAGTGTTTTCCAACACCTTGCAGGTCTCAGAGGACTTGCTCTGGGCTGCGGTTGAGTCGTTGGAGAAAAACAGGGAACATACCAGTGATTAGGTCGCTTACTACGATACGCCCCTAATCCAACCTTTGACTTTCATTCTTTCTTTCCCCCCTTTTTCTTATGTTATTCGAAGAGCATAATCTCACCAGGCAGCAGGAGCCGAGGCAATGCTGGACGAAAGGTGCGCAAAATGCGAGCAGGGAAGAACAGAAAGGGAGATTTTATCATACATTAATGCCTAATAGAGCAGGCAAACCCCTTATGGTGTGCTAATTAATAGCCCCTGGGGAAGCAAAATCTGATGGTCTGGTGGGGTAGATCCAGAGTGGGGGGTGCCCACGCTAGTTTATCGTGGGGTGGCTTCACCGGTGGGCTAGTCCGTGGTTGCTTCTGCACCCTGAGTCCTAAAAAAAACGGAATGAGGGGATACCCAATTGAATGGTGCCCATGAACAAGATCTGTACGTCTTGTTCTCCCCGCCCCATATCCACCCATTCGTGAACACAACCAAGCACACAGAAGAGAGCAACAGGTCCTAGGTGATAAGACGGAACCGGGGTGTGGCAGAGTGTAGTATTATTTTCACTCGTGAACTACTCTGTGCACAATTTCAGAATCTCAATTGGCAAGCCTTGGCTACCATCTCCCGGCCAGCCCTGTGAGCATTTTGTTGTAAATCACTGGCACTCCAACTAACCCCTTGCCTATCTACTGAGACTCGACGGACTGGAGACTTATCCGCGGGTGTCCAAAGATGGTAATGCTTAGAAGGGACTTGATAAGCAAGATGGAAGGTTCTAGAGATTACTGCACAGGAGTGTATTATAGATTGATATTGCGGGGCAAGCAAAGGAAATACACGAGGGGGCAGGAGGGACAGTAATTGGGCAACAAAGCGCGGTTGAGCGATGTCTCGAGAATCATAAAGAAGCTAAAAGAGGGGTAAAAGGCCGGGTCATGTGGATGACCAAGGAGACTGGTCTGGATAGAAGAAGCTATGATCCAGA